AAGCAGGGTTAGAATTCTGAATGCAGTCTTTTCAATGACTATCATGCAGAGATAAAGAAAACTATTACAACATTAAAGCAGTCAACATAAGAAGAGAACAAAAAGGTAAAAACAAGAGATGTCTACCAGAAGATTCAAGAAATAAAAGAGAAAATTCAAATTTTGATTAGGAATGCTGCATGACCAATGAGGAAGCACATTATCTGATCAGGAAAAAATACAGAAAAGGTAGAAACAAGTATATTGAAATTGTATATACAGAATAGATGGGAAAATGACAGATATTTTTGTAAAGTCATATGAGGAAGAATTCTAGAAAGCAAAGTGAAAGCTGCCCTGAAAGTGTTGGGAAGAAATTAATCACCAGGAGTAATAATCTGTCAAAATCCTAACAAGACTATGCCAACATGGAAAACAAAACAGTGGCCTACAGACTGGACATGCATCCCAATCGTCAAGAAAGGAGATGCCAAGAAGTGCGGTAACTAAAGGAACACTGCTCTAATTTCCCAGGGAACTGTGAGCATTTGCTGGACATTGGCGTGTTCCAAAGAATTTCAGAAGATTACTCTGTTTTATAGGCTACAGTGAAGCCTTTGACTGCGTCAATCATGAGAAGCTATGAGTTGCTCTGGAACAGGCGTGCCTCAGCACTCCACTGTCCTGACACATGGCCTGGACTGTGAGCAGGAGGCTGCTGTAGGACAGAATACGGAGAGAGAACGGTTTCCTATCAGCAAACGTGTCACACAAGGGTGCATTTAACCTCCTTATTTGTTTATTCTGCCTGCAGAACTGGGCTAGATTAAGAGGAAGGAGTGAAAATTGACAGAAGAAATATTAGGAACTTAATATATGCAGAAAACAACATTTTACTGGCAAGAAGTATCAATGACCGGAAAAGGCCTCTGATGAAGGTGAAAGAAGAAAGTGCCAAAGCAGGGCTGCATCTGAACATCAAGACAAAAACTGTGACTGTGGAAGAAACACACAACTTTAAAGAGTCTCATGCTCTACCAACTGAGCCAGCCGGGCAGAAACACACAACTTTAATATACACATGAAGAAACTGAAATTGTTAAAGGTTTTGCTTACCTTGGCCCAACAATCAATTCAAATGAAGTCTCAGCCAAGAAATCAAGACAAGGCTGAGACTCAGAAGGGCAGCAATGGAAGACTTAGGAAAGATCCCTAAGAGCAAAGACGTGTTATTAGAGATTAAAGCTAAGGTCAGCTACATGCCTGCATTTCCAATTACTATGTACAGATGCGAAAGCTGGACTGTGAAATTAAGCCTAAAATAACACTGGAGGCAAAAATGGCAAAGCTGTCGCTGTCCTAATTTGGACACATCACCAGAAGGCAGATTTCTTTGGAAAAGACAATGTTGGGTAAAACAGAATTCAAAAAGGAAGGCCGAATGAGATGGATTGGCTCCATAAAAGAAGCCACAGGCATGAGTCTGCAGGAGCCGAGCAGAGCAGGTGCGGACAGGACAGTGTGGACATCACTCTATTCATAGTGTTGCCAAGAGTCAGAGTGGACTCAATGGCATGTAACACACACACACGATTTAGAAATGAAACGATGATACATGGAAACAAAATAATCTGACCTAAAATTATAGGCACATCATGACCATGACCATAACCGTGTTTGGTGTACTGAACACACCAGAAGTCTGGATGTAGCAGGGGAGTGGGATGGTCCCCCTCCATTCCCCTCTTCTGTAAAGAGGTTTTACTGACTAGTTTCTGATTTAAAATTTTTGTTAAGTACCTCAGAATGTTAATCTCTTACCATTTGGTCCAAGCGATGTTCTCATTGTATTTGCTACAGCCTTTGCTGCCATTATATGAGACTAAATGAAACAGAAAAAAGCAAATATTCAAGTTACATATAATTTTAATAGTTGAAAGCATACAGCTGATGACTGATATTAAGACCACTTTGCAATGCGAACTTCATGTGAGTCCAGCTGTAAACATACGGCACCTTGAACGGTCACACAATGGTTTACTACAGAAATATATTCTTCTCTCAAATGGCCCAGCCAATACCTAAATCACCCACACACAAAAAGTCATCCTTGCTTATCACCTGCCAAGGGCGTCAATACTGAAAGAACTGGAAGCTTGAAACCATCTGTTCCTGTTTCCACACATAATTAGGTCCATTTTTCCTCCATGTCTTGTTTCCTTTCTATTCTTGCTGTCACAACCTAGCCCAGATCCACAGGACCCTACTGAAATCCAGGGTCTCTTATCTTACCTCCTTTCCTTCAGGTTCATCCTACACCCACCTAAGCCATCCGTTTTTCTCTGTCGCTTCAGTCCCCAAACCTTACTGGCACCCTCTCCCTGCCCCAATGTCTCAACACGAAAGTCTAAAAGCTGCAGCTTCCCAAAGTCCTCCACAACCTGAGATTTAGGTTCCTTCCAGTGAGAATGATTTATGCCTGTTTCCCAAATATGTCCTCTGACCCCTGGACCATGCACACACAAAAGGCCCTCTTGCTACCCACCAAAACTCTTATCAGCTTCTGAAGCAGTTCAAATGCACATGTTCTGTGAGGACTTCCCTGGTCACCCCATCTGATAGGTAACAAGACACAAAGTTCATCACATCTGTGAAAATGCTGTAATCCTTAAAATATACTTTGACTGGTATGTCTGTAAAACAGAATTTTTAAAGGATAATAATCACAGGGAGGTGGTTCCTAATGCCGGGTTTTGTTCCCCAGGAGGCATCAGCAATGCCTGGAATTTCTGGTTGTCAAAACTGGGGAGGGAGCTATTACAGCAGTGGGTAGAGGGAGGCCAGAGATGCTACTTAACATCCCACACAGGGGAGGTCCCAGCACAAAGAATCTGGCCCCAAATGTCGCAGTGCCAAGGCTGAGAACTCAGGTCTAGATCCCTGGTTTTGGAGTTCAACAAAGGTGGGCTTCACCTATGGCCCTGTTCTTCACTAGTGCTGCGACCTTAAGCAATTACCTGACTGCTCTGGGCCAAGTTTTCAACTGCGTCAAGTAATACCTGTCCCAGAGAGTAAGTATTGTTATGGAATAATGCACATAGCTAAAAAAGTGGCTGATGCAAAACTAACCTGTAGCTTCTGCCGTACTGTTTAACTGTGTGCCAGTGTTAAATGTTACTTTCTCTGCTGGTCCCTTTTACAGGAAAATGGAACTGGGTATGTAATACAAGTGGCCCAAGTACCCACCGTGAACACTGTGTGGTCACTCCTTAAGTTACCCCCATTGAATACTCATTCTCAGCTTGACAGAGGTGCATTACACTGAGAAAAGGTTCAGAGAGGTTCAGTCTGTGGAAGAACTGTACTGTTTATTAATTTAACTCCAAGACATTAAGTGAACAAGAACACCTCATACCTGGTGACAAACTCTACACATATAAATGTCGTGGATTCCTTCCCTTTATAAAAAACTCCTAAGCCAGTGCCTCTTTCCCTTCCTCTGTCCTTTTTGTCGAAGCCTGGGCTCAGATGCCCAGTCCTTACCAGGACTCCTACAATGGTAGATCTGACTCCCCTGGTCTTCCGTATTCCCTTCAGTCCAGCCCAGACTCTGCTTCCTACGGCACAGCACTACCTAAGTTTTGACTCTGATCAGAGCCCTCCCCTTCCCACGGGAGAGCACCTTGACTGCGGGGCATTCAAGGGCTTCCATCTTGGGGAACTAGCGTAACCTGAAGGGGTCCGTGCTCCATCCAAACCAGGTTGCACTCTCCCCGTACAACGTGCCATGCCATCTTCTTCCCAGGCCTTTGCTTTCCCAGTTTCTCTTTTCCAGAATGCTGGCTCAATTTCATTCAAAACATGACTCCATCCCTGATCAATAAGCCATCTCTATCAAACGTCTGACGGACACCTCCAAATTTTATCTGCATTTCGGTTACTGCTGTCCATTTCTCACTGTTACAGTAGTATTCCCTTCCTTAAGGATCTACATTTAAAACTTTTAAGACACTGTATCCAGGAAAACGCCATGCACGAAAGATATTCAAAAATGAAATACTCTGTAAATGCCTAAGCCTTTAGAAAGTGACAAAATGAGCCTCCATTTCTTTTAGGGCTGCTTCAGATACACTAGCTGAAGATTAAGCATCAGAGCCTTAAACATCCAGGTGACCAGAGAATACTTTCTCTGCATCTCACTGACAAAAACACTGATCCGTAAAATTGCCAGGCTGGAGAAACGAGCGAGACACGGGTTCGCTGCTTGTGACTTAAAAAACTGCCTCACCTAACTGTGAAGGGCATTTTTGAGGCTCACCCTAACCCCTAAAGGCCTACAGCCTGGCCTCTCCCAAGCCGTAGGAGCGGGGTGCGGGTCCAGACACGAGAGGAATTCCCTCGGCTTTTACTCGGAGCACATGGCAGAACCTCTCCTAGGCTTGCGCAGGCGCAAAGCTATAGGGATCCGCCGTTTCCTCCCTTCCTACCGCCAGTCGGACCCGGTCCCGTTACCTTGAGAGCCTCTAGGCCCGTAAGACGAGTCTTGCGGTCCTGATCCTTAATGATGAGGAAAGGGCGCCCATATTCATCGAAGGCGAGGGTCCCGACGGACGCCATAGTGCAACAGCAGGGCTTACTTTCCCGCAACCGGCCGAAATCACTCCGGAACCTAGAATGCACCTTCCGCCCAAGGGCGGGCTCCACAGCCTGCGCATGCGCAGTGCAACCCGAGTGAGACTTATTTTTCACTTGAGACTAGTTTAACGCCAGACAGTACTTTCTGGAATCGGCGGCCTTCGGAAACTTCAATCATCTAGGAAGCTGTGGGGGGGGTGGAAGTTCGAAGTCACGGACGGGAACTTTAGAACCTACAAGATAAGAGGAGACAGAATTTCGTCATTTCATGAAGTTACACAATTGAGAGTATCTGGATATTGAATCCCAAAAAGCAACTCATTTACTTAGAGCATTATTTTCTCTCTCCCTTTCGGTAGGAGATGGTATAATCCACTTCCGGGTTTTTCTTTTTCGCGCTGGAAATCTCGCGATGGAAGGAGGAGGAGGAGGTGAGGTTGGAAGGACATGGCGGGTCCCTTGGATTCTGTGTGGCGTACTGGCATGACTTGGGGCTCGCCGTTGGCCGGAGTTTCGTCCCATGTAGCCCGTCCCTGTCGGGTGAGGGCAGGAGTGGGAGCTCCTGGCGCTGTTCTTCGCTAACTGTCTGACGTTGAGTGCACCGTGCTCAGGCCCACCGCACCCCTCCTCCCTTTGGAGCTTGCCCGGCTGCCCCGTCTCGGGTGGTGGGCTGAGTGCATTTGCTGGTGCTAGGATCTAGCTGCCAGGATCTGTTCTGAGCGCTTTCGGGCGAATAAGTCACGTAGTTCTTGGCACGGTCTTAGGCTGGTATGGGCACTGCACTCCCACTGCCTAGGTGGGAATCGCAGCTCTGCAATTTTACTAGCTATGTTTTGGAGATAGTGACTGGTCCACTCTGTGCTTCAGTGTCCTTGTCTGAAAAAATGGCAATAATATTGTGGGATTTACTTTACACAGCTGCTATAGGGATTCAGGGAGAACAAGTGCCTGGCGCTTAGCAAGCTCTGTTTAATTGTTTGTTAAGAAATGCCCGGTTTGCGCATACGGTCCAGTAACTTGCCCGAAGTTACACAGCTAGCTAGAAAGAAGCAAAATTGCACAGCCTTGGGCTAAGGGTCCCACTGTGAAGCCCTGCGTTGTGCTGACTTGAAAGCTGTTTCCTGGAATCCCTAACTTAATAGTACTTGGCCCCTAAATACTTGACACTGCTTTTTCTTTAGACCACTGATCATGACCAAATATTTATGGATATTTGTTAGGAGTTTTCAGCCTTCTGTACTCCCAGCTGCCAAAAAAATACGGGCTTACTCGTTTGTTCCTAGTCTTTATTAGATACTCGAGTGTTAAAAGGAGTGCACGCTTTACAACATGGTTAACCCTGGCCTGAAAATCAAGAACTGGCTTTGTCATTGGAGAGTTGATGATCACTTAACATCTCCTAGTGCTTGGCCCACTTATTCTCAAATTTTCAAGAGAGTGATGATGCAAGGACATTTTAGATTTTGGAGGTAGGTCTCAATTCACTTCAATTTGGCTGGTTCAGCATCTTCTCATTTAAAATGGTGAATTCTGCAATTTCTTTGGCTCATTAGACTGTTGTGCAGTATAGGAAATGTTTAATGATGTCTTCCACACAGTTCATTTTTATTTCCTGTCAAAAAGGTTTTTCCTAGTATCATTAGGTGCTGTATATCCAAAGCACACGAACGACATTAGACCAATACAAGAAAGCCTTAAAGGACTAAAAAATGTGATAAGGGGACATAAATATATGCTGTAATTTTTCAACTGGTATGTGAATACAAGTACCCAATAGCTCTTAAATATAAACCCCAGTTTAAACAGTGTGGCAGATAACAATTCCAAACAGGCCTGTTCTTTTTTTCTGGCCTTCTTTTTGCTTGAACTTAGATGAAAAGCCTGTCTGCATTTTTGTGCATTTCAGTCATTGCTTCTAGCTTTAGGTGACTCAGATCTGTCCCTGAAAATTGAGATTTTCAACCATTAACAGAAGTGAGTAACTAGGCAAGCGTGGGGACAACAGAAGTTCACCCCTTTGAGTCCTTCACTTTCAAGGACTGACTCCTAAGTGCCCAACAAAAACAGCTAGTGGCCACCACACCTCTCATCTAATGGAATGGCTCAAAGTTCCTAAGAGCACATGCAACAGAAGTCTTTGTCATTTATATCATAGTAAACAGTTTTATGACCCTAAATGTGTTCCATTAAAAGGATTAGAAATTTGTAGAAACAGTCTTCATTTTAAGTTTTGAATCTTCAGGGACTGGTTTTTACTGATAAACATCAAAAATTTTTTTAATTGAATGGAGGTAACAATACAGTCATATATTGGATTTACATAGTAACTTTAAAACCTCATACCAACTTTTGTGACGTTAACAGACTTGCAGATGTAAAAACTAGTGACAGAAAATTCAGTGATTTCATTAGGGGATACACTGCTGCGGCACGGATTGCCTTTCTTAAAAACACAAAGAGTGTAGTGACTTTGTTCAACAAATTTTATGGCAGTGCACAAGAGTAAAATGCACGCTTAGCCTGGCATCAAGGTCTCACACTCGCCTTCCTGCGCTATCTACCACTCTGCTCAGCAAATGGTTCCCCACCTTCAGTGCCATAGTTCCAAGGCTGGCTTCTTTTGCTAATGCCCTTTTTTCTAGCACCCTCACGTATAGCTCAAGTTCTGTCTGTCCACACCTTCCTGACTCCATCACTGGGATCAGTCTTTCTTCCACCTCCCGCTATGTTCCCAGGGTGTCTTGTGCACCTTATAGCATTTCTTACAACCTGCCTTGTGTATGTCTCAGCTGCCCCCTACCATGCACACCGGTTAGATGGGAGGCCCTGAAGATAGGAGCTCTTTATTATATCTTTTGCTGGTTGAATTGAAGGGTATAAGTCTACACAGGTGAAACAGATTTTGGGTTCTCTCATTGGGTTCTGCTCTTTCCTGGCCTATGCTGACTAGAGAAACTGTCTATTAACGGACAAATGGATTAACAAAAATATGGTATATTTATGCAATGGAATATTATTAGGCTATGAAAAGGAATAAAGTGCGGATACATGGTACAACATGGGTGAATCTTAAAAACATTATGCTAAGTGGAAGGGCAGTCACAAAAGACCACATACTATGATTTCACTCCTATGAAAGTCCAGAATAAGGGACTTTAGACACACAAAAAAATAGATTAGTGGTTGCTTAGGGTTACGGAGTGAGGGGGAGGATAGAGGAGTGCTAATGAAAGGTTAAGGAGTTTCTTCTTGAGGTAATGAAGATGTTCTAAATTTGCAAAATATCTATGAATATAATAAAAACTTTAAATTCTACATATTAAATTGTACATGAATTACATCAAGAAAGTTGTTATAAATTAATTCCCCACCCCACCCCATGATAGTGTTGAGAATAGTAATGACAGCCAACAGTCATCACTTACTCTCTCAGGCCTCTGCTAAGGACTTTGTATGCATTATTTATTTAAGGATTCAATAACCCTATGGGAATAGTGTTATTTTCAAGTCTTAGGGGGAGGAAACCCAACCTTAGCCACAACTTACCCAGTGCCATGCAAGTAGTTAAGGTCTGAGACTCCAGAACTGTGTGACTCAAATCCTCTTAACCACTGTGCTATACAATTGGGATGCCCACATGATATTTTATACAAGGCATGGTAGACATGCTTTAACTATTTAAAAAATAATCAAATGCTTGACTAGTATGGCATATGAAGTCCTCCATACAATGCTGAAAAGTGTAACTGTAAATGTATTTAGAACTCTTGCTTTCTATCAAACATCATCATCCTCCAAAACTATTATTTTACCTCCAGCACTAGCACAAGGAGTAGACTTTTGTTGTTTTTGTTTCTGAGTTGGTTTCTGCTATGAACCACTTTTAAAATTCACTTTAGGGAACCTTAGACATCAAGAACAGCAAAGCTCCATTGTTGGGAGGTACTGGTGGTTGGTCAGCTGCCCTGGAGCGGAGACTCACTGCTGTGAACCAGCTTTTGGTGTGTCCTGTGTTCAAATTTGTGCCTCCCCAAATTATAACAATCATCACATTTCATGGGTATGGTAGGTGGAATAAAGACCCCCCACCCCCAAACAGGCCCATGTCCTAATTCCCAGGAACTGTGAATGTTACAGGAGAGATTTTTGCAGATGGGATTAACGATGTTGAGATGGGGAGATTATCCTGGATTATTTGGATGGGACCAATAAAATTACTGGGGTCTCTATAAAGGAAATAGGCAGGAGGGTCAGAGAAAATGTTATAAAAGCAAAAGTTGCAGTGTTTTGGGTCACTGGCCAAGAAATGTCAGCAGTCTTTAGAAGTAGGAAAAAGCAAGAAAATCCATTGCAGACAGTTGACCTCTCAGAACTGCAGGGTAATAAATGTGTATTGTTTTAACCCACTAAGTTTGTGGCAATAGGAAACTGATCCAAGGGGTTTTTGAATGGCTTGGTAGTTACTGAAACCAACAGGAGTCTGTTGTCCTCCCTTCCTCCTGCTCTCTGTTTCCTACCTATTCTTGTGTTTTTAGTCTTAGCTCCTCAGCTAGATGGTTCACTTCTTCAGGGCAGGATGATCTTGTTCCCTGTGGGATTCCGGTGCCAGGCACTGTTCTGAGTGCTTTACCTGCACCCACTCGTTTCACCCTCACAGTGACCTTGCGATCCCCGCTTTGCAGATGAGGAGACTGAAGGTGAGAGAGGGGAAATCACTGTTGGCAAAGACTGCGCCTGGGGTTCTAAACACTGCAGGCTTCTGCTGTTATTTGTGGTGCTGTGCTCAATTGATTTCACAATTAATTTCAAGTCAATTTCAATCTAAAATACTTGAGATCTTACTGAGAATGTGGAGGTTAAAACTCAAGAGGAGGATATTTAAGATACCATTCATTTCTCTGTGATTAGTGATTGGAATTTTTTTGCTTTATTCCATGCTTGTCATAGCATTGAAATGATAATTTTATTTTTCTTTTTAGATCTGCTATAAAAATCTCATTACCATACTTATTTAAGATTTTAGTAAAACCTGAGTCTTGTCTCTTCTATTACTACAAATTGTGTGTGCAACTGGAATAGAGATGCCTGACCAGTTTTGATATGAAATCCTTTCATCCTATTTGAAATGGGGTAATAATTAGATATTTTCATGCTTATTTGTTTATGAGGCTTTGTTCTCAATCATATACATATGGAGTTCTTGATTAACTTGATTAAGTATTAATGGATATTGAATTCATAAAATACCAAATAGGTATAAACACATTGTTTTATAAAGTTGACTATTAGAGACAAAAAAATAAAATGTTGGAAAGAAAAGATTTTAGTCTTCCATTAGTATCAAATAATTTTCTCTAAAACACCTTAGTTTAGTTCATGAAATTTAGAAACCATTGTGGAATCCCACACTAGTAATTTAAATTGTATTCAGCCAAATTATCTTTGTTTAAAAAGCATGCATTTATTTCTCAATAAGAATTATAGAAAAATAGTGCCTTAAATTTCAGGTTTGGGGCTACCTATATATTTTCTGCTTACTCTCAATCTAGGTACACCCCCAGAAACACTTAAAGAAGAAAGTCAGTCAGGATATGCTCCACCTACAAGTGTTGAAGCCAGCGGTGTGAAGAAGAGCAGTTGGGGCTTCTTCTTTACTGGGATTGTTGGTGGGACCCTGGTGGCTGTGTACGCCGTGGCCACTCCATTTATAACACCAGCCCTCCGAAAAATTTGCTTGCCTTTTGTACCTGCAACAACACAGCAGATTGAAAATGTTGTGAAAATGCTGCGAAGCAGAAGAGGACCTCTGGTGGACATTGGTAGTGGTGACGGACGGATTGTGAGTTACGATAATGCGTTTTAAGGTTTAGCACCAGAGTTGTTTAAATCTCTTTCATGTTTTGTAGGAGGTTTATGCAAAGACTCACTAAACCTGACAGTTTAATAAAGTAGTCATTTCATTTTGTGTTTGGCTGGACTGTCAAACCCTTGAGCATGAATTTGGAATGTATTTTTCTCATTTAATTTTTCCTTAAAGGAGAAAGTGCTCTGTAGATATACCAGGTAAAAAGGAACAATTAATTGGTAATTATGAAATTGACTGTTAAGAAATTTGGGCCAATAGAGGTGCATAACTAGACGAAACATATTAAGTCATGGAGTTTCACTGTTTTACATTTCTGCACCATATACTTTTGCTCCTACATTTATCTGTACTTACACATGTATCCTATGGGGTAACAGTTAAAATAGGGAAGAGCATTAACCCCTACTTTTTGAAAGATCAGATTTTAGTGACTTGAACTCACTTTTAACTGCCCCCCACTGCCCCCAATCCCGTGCTGGGAAGCTGTGTTATTTATTCAAGGCCAGAGACTGGCAAATGGGTGTCCCAGAACATTTTCCTTCAGGGACAGGGTGGCATCTCAGGATTTAGGCCTCCATTTAATGAGCCAAAAAGTGAAGGTAGCAGTAGCCAAGGCTAGTATTCTCGAAACCTTTTCTGTGGAGACCAGCAGGCTGCTATGATGCCTGTCACCAGCCCCTGCCCACATAGTCCCTGCACTTTCATCACCGTGACCCGAGAACAGTCAGAGATTGAAAAGGGCCCTCTTTTTGAGAAATCAGAAGGTGCACATATTAATCAGGAGGAAGTTTTTTTAAAGATTTTTATTTATTTTTAAAGAGAGGGGAAGGGAGCGGAAAAGAGGGAGAGAAACATCAATGTGTGGTTGCCTCTCATGCACCCCCAGCTGGGGACCTGGCCCGCAACCCAGGCATGTGCCCCGATTGGGAATTGAACCCTTTGGTTTGCAAGCAGGCGCTCAATCCACTGAACCACACCAGACAGGGCAGGAGGAAGTTTTAAAATCCAGATTTGAATGCTTTACATGTTCAAAGAGTATCTTTATGATTTCTCAGAACATGGTTCCTTCTTAAGGGGTGACAGTATAGTTACTCTATACTATAAATTACTATAGCTGGGACAGCTCCTTCAGTGATGTTCCCTTGGAGAGTTGGGGCAAGACCAAATGAGCAGAGACCCCAGGGAACAGCCCATTAGGGAGACCAGCCCACTCTCCCTGTCACCTAGGTGGTGGCATTGTGCAGTTGACTTTATTCTGATTTGTTCCATTTTACTTTAACCTGCTTGCAACTTTGAGTGAACGATCTTAAATACTAAGGAAATATGTAATAAATTGCAGATTCTTGCAGTAAGTCTAATTGACAGGTTATTTTTATTGCATATTCCAACTAGCTCACAATGCATTCATTCGCCTGCTGGTATGATATCACTGATGGAGAAAGACTGGGTTTTCAGCAACTTTTGTCAGACTTAACCAGAGGTTGGCCAATCCACAGTTAATTACATAGTTGTCTAAAGCAAACCTGAGTATTTATTCTGATGCTCTAGGTGAAATCTTTAACAAAACCTGGAAGTGGAGTTAAAATTGACATGCATTATTTTGTCTTCAAATCTGCATAATTTTATACATCTATCTTGAAATGGTGTCTTGAACAAAGGAGATGCCTTTGGACGTTTTAAAATTATAGTCCATAAATAGGAAGTATATCATTTCTCAGGTACGCAGGTAAGCTGATGTTTTTCTTTTTGTCTTGAATAAATACCGACCTCTTTCTGCAGGTGATAGCAGCTGCAAAGGAAGGATTCACAGCTGTTGGTTATGAATTAAACCCATGGCTAGTTTGGTACTCCAGGTACCGCGCTTGGCGAGAAGGGGTACAGCACTTGGCCAAATTCTATATTTCAGACTTATGGAAGGTATGTAAAGCAGACAGCAGTCCTAGGAAACTCTGACTGAAACTTTATAATTCATCATTTGTATGATTGCAAACTGAAAAAATGTATAAAAATAATTAAAATACACATGTATATTATAGCATAATGAAATGTGAACATCTTTTAAATGAATAGAGATGCACATTGACTATTTTAGAGTATAAGCTTAAGATTTACAACAGGATTGATTATGTGAATTCCAAGAATTTACCCAATTAAAGTTCTCATTTCTATTTATTACAAAATTTTGATCTCATTTGGAAATCTTACAAATTGTAACATAGGCATTAACTTATTAATGTTGTTCTTGGTAAATAGTAGACTTTTCTGTGTGTGTGTGTTTGTGTGTGTCTATATTTAGAGAGAGGCAGGGATGGGTACAGAGAAAAGAAAGAATCCACCAACGATGCTTTCTCCTGGTGTTCATAAAGTATAAGATACTTCCAAGTGTATTAGTACTCTAAAAAAAAGCTTTGTAATTTTGCTTTAGGAATGCTCCATAAAATGGTTTTTCTTAAGTAAGAATTTCCCATTGTAATAGTGTCATCAGTAGCTTATAAAAATTCACTTGCATTTTGCTTGCAGTTTTCTGATACCAAATATACATAAACGATCTCTCTGTAGAGTAAATAAGACTTTTATTGGGCAATAAGAATTTTGACTGGCAAAGCACTTTCCCCCCAGTTTTTCCACTAAAGTCCATTTTATTGTGTTTTTTACTTAGTATTTTAGAGAAGAGGACAGGGACTAGAATTTTAAGGATGGTTCAACATAAAAAACTGGTAGTCTGAGATCCCTTGAGTTCTTGCAAAGCTAGTTTGGTATAGAGTAGGGTAGGGCAGTGTGGACCGGGGTGCAAGTGTCCCAGGGCCAACTGGCTTGGCCACCAGCTGGTTCTTGGTTGAGACGCTGGCTTTGTGACAGATGACCGCTGGGGCAGGCTGCTGTGAGGATGGGATGAGATGACTTCTGGGGGCGCATTTCTAAAACTGATGGGGTGAACTAACATGAATGAGAGCATGCCCGCACTGTTTCCTTATGAAATCTAAAGGGAGACCACTGTGAAACTCTGCTATTTAGTAAAATGTAAAATTGCTACTTATTTTGAAACAAAAGTTAAGCTGGATGTTTGGTTTTTAAAAATTAACCTATGAATGGTTTCCTCCTCTTCAGGTTACTTTTTCACAGTACTCAAATGTTGTTATTTTTGGAGTGCCTCAGATGGTGAGTATGCGCGTTCCTGTCCCATCTGTTTGGTTTGAGGTCCTGACGGCCCTTCCAGCTCTAACTGCCTCTCCGTGTCCTGCTCACCCATGTGCAAAATGATGGCCTCCCAGATACCCTGAGGGGACACTGGGTTTCAGTTTATTGATTAAACAAAATACTTCAGGGTCTTAAAAGTTTAATCATAAATGATTTAGTCTTATTTTTAAACTTTTGTTTCTGATAAAAATCTCAATTTTCTAAGCCCTAAAAATTCCAGTCTGAAAAGTGGAGAATTTTGAGTCCCCAGTGTCTAGTGTAGTTGGAGATTTTCACGGTCCCTCACTTCTGTCCAGTTGAAATCACTTGGGAAAGTTAATAGGATGTTCCCTTTGAATCGATTATTCCTGATTTTGCAGTAAGATAATTTTCAGGGCAGATGAGTGCTGACTAGTTTCAATTGACCTGAGATGACTGATGTGTACTGAACTTTGATTATGTACTTTCGAAAGTGAAAATACTGCAGCATTGCACTGAAAATGGTCTTAAATTTAGTCTTTGGAAAGATAACTGGGATGGGATGCTTTTGTTGTAATTGTTGGTTTACAGACCGTGGAAAGAAATCCCTTTTCACTTTTCAAAGTCTGTAATTGTAGCCATAATAGTCGTGGTGAAATTGGATGTTTGTTGAAATGCCACTATAAAACTGACATGGTTTTCAATTTTAAAAGGAAATTTACTTTTTTTGTTGTTTTGTTTTCTTATTCATATTTTAATTTTTGTACAAGAAATTTTAATGCTTGAGAAATTTATTCTTACCACTAAAACCTTCAGTGCAATGCCATTTTCTTTTATTTTTTTGAAGTCATTTTAGCAGTGCTGCATTACATATTCTTGAAAGCGACAGGATTCTGTATGTTTATAATTTCTGATACGCCTGAAATTAAGATGAAACCTGGGTGTCTACAGTTTTGTTATAGGAATGAAAAGAGGTAGAAGGGCATGATTGTTGGCCATTAAAAACAAAACAAAACTATTCAGGATCATAGAATTACTATGGAATTTGAAGGTTATTTACTAGTTATGATGTTTGGGCATTCTTTCAGAATAATGAGCATTTAGGGGCAAATAACTAACTTGAAATCCATGCTTTCTAAAAATAGAAAGTTGATATGTTTTGGGGCTCCCATGCAATGTTGAGAGGCTGAACTATGGCTGTGGGCTATGAGATGTGGGCTTATGAAGCCACAGCAACTGTGTCCCAGTGGGGGGCAGCAGTGGCCTTTGGTAGTCACTGTCACCGCTTAACCTGTGCGCTCCAATTCCTTGTGCTTCTTTTATCACAATTGAAGTACAGTCAGTTTTTAGAGCTGTTCACTCAGGGGAGAGAGTCCTATTATTTTGATGAATGCTTTCGCAGTTTTTGTCCATGCTTCTGTACACAGAAACAGTCTTAAATAAGGAACTCATAGTATTTCATTATTCCCAAGAAAAAGGGGAGCAGCTGAAATGCAGGAAGCACCTGCATTGCCTGGGATGGCAGGGATTCAGCCACGCAGGTGGATAGATCACAAGTGCAAAGTGCCCAGGTGGTTCTCTTGGCCTGGAGGCCCAATTTCACAGGTGGTGGACCCACTTTCTGCCTTCATCAAGCTTCGCCTAAGTGGATGATGGGAGTGGGAGGGAGAGCCCTGTCTGGGGAGCCAGGGGCCAGGTCTGCCATCAGTGAGGTAGGTTGTGTGAGCCCTGAACGATCCTTTGATCTATCTGAGCCCCATCATTCACTCTTCTATTAAAATGCATTTCCCTTCCCTGAGCTGCGTCAGTATTCTGGTCATGCCTAGGTGGTTCAGCAAAGCCAGTGTGGCGTGAAATGTTTCCTGGGCAGCTGAAGTACACATAGGTCACAGAGAGCCAGGAGGACCTTTAGGGAACTTCAGAGGTAGAAACCCTGGTGTTATAAATCCTCACCCTGTTTCTGATAGCAGGCTGATTATTCCTAACAGCACTTTGTAGGCGTAGCTTGAAATTAGAGGTGACCTAACATTTCAGTCCTGGTGTGTATTTAACATATAGGAATGAGGAATCCCATTGGACCTGGTAAATTCCGTAGTAGGATTGTAAATACCCATGTTTAAGACTAGTTTATCTACCAAGAGCATCTTCGGAAAATGTGGTACAGATCATTTGTATTCTCGTTTAAAACCCTTCCATGGCTTCTTGTTGCTTCAAAGCAGTGACGATAAGGCCTGAACTCTCGGCGTGGCCCTGAGGCCTGCTGTGGAGTGGCCCCTGCTTCTCTCAGCTGCCTGTCCACCAGCTTCATTTTTCTCTTGGTCCCTGGACGCCACTGTGTATGGGGCCGTGTCTTTCCTCTGACTTCAGTCCCGCAGCTCTGGGCCTAGTTAGTAAACACCTATTGACCACTCATGGTCCAATGCTTTTTCCTCAGAACTGTCCCTCACCCCCCAATGGGAGGAGCTGCATGCTCCCTGTTTTTCACGCGCACGGTGCCTGCTGCCCAGGCCTCACAGGAGTTGCTGTGCATTTCCTTGTGCAGCGGCTGTGCCGGTGTTACCGTGGCCCTGCACTGCACGGCCGACTGCGAAGGCCAGCCGGTCTTCTTGGCATCCAGACCTCCAGCATGGCAGCCCTGGCACAGAGCGATCACTCAGGGCGAATTTGCTAAATGAATGAATAAATATGGTATAAACATACCCATTAAGTACACTTTTCCCAGTGGGCTATTACATTTTGCAACTTCAAAGGATGACTAATTTAATTTTAGTTGTGAATCCTGTTTGGAATTGACAAATGAAAATATTATTAGCATGTTCTGGTAAAGAAAAATCATTCATGATTAAACTATTTATCCTTCATCATTCATTTGACCAGTATTTATTCGGGGCCCACTTGGAATACTTTAGTGAATAAAAGAGAAAAACCTCCCTGCCCCGGGTGCTTATATGCTAGAGGGGAGAACAGATATTAAATGAGATGCCTGTATAAAGTATGTCGAGCAGAAGGGGATACGTGCTCTGGGGCAAATTAAAGCAAGAGAGGGATGGGACAGAAATAGTGTCACGGAAAAAGGGACATGTGGAGGTGAGAAAGGGAGCTGTGTGTCTGTGTCCAGAAGAGGGGAGCAGCATTCCAGACAGAAATGTAGCCACTCTGAAGGCACTGCGGTGTGTGTGCCTGTTGGGTTCCAGGAACCACGAGGAGGTGGGTGTGGCAGGGGCAGGGTGAGTGAGGGGAGCTGGGGAGAGGTGAGGTCAGAGAGAAAATAGAGCTGCGACGGGAAGGACCCTGGGCCCTTGTGGGGTGGGAACCATGGGGGGTTTGAGCAGAGGAGTAGAGGAGTGGGCTGGAAATGAAAAGGATCACAGGCTTTCCTGGGGCAAGGGTGACTCGCAGGTTTTTGTCCTGAGCAACTGGAAGTTTGGAGTTGCTGTTAATGAGCTGGGAAAGGTGCAGGCAGAGGGGCTTGAGAGAAGATCGGGACTTCCAGGTGGCATGTGACGTTTGAGATGTGTGTGGGGAATGTCAGGTTGGTAGCGGTGGATGGGGGGATCTGAGGCTCAAGAGAGGGCTGCAGGTCAGGTTTTTGGGCATCAGCTCCCAGAAGTTGAAGCAGAGCGGTGGCTGGATCACTTAGAGAGGGGGCAGAGCCATGCAAGTCCTGAGCCCTGGTCTCTGACAAATGAAGGGCACTCAGCAAAGGACTGGAGAGGAGGAGCTTGGGAGGACCAAAGTGGGGTTGAGGTTTTGGGGGTGTTTCCTGGAGGCCACGTGAAGCCAGTGCCTCAGGGAGGAGGGCGTGAGGAAGGGCCTCAAAGCTGCCCCTGGCCATGGCTAATTTATCTTACATGCCTTTGAGCTGGTTCAAAGTTATGTTTAAAGTTTTGAAGATGTAATTAAATACGATGAGTTCGTGTTACTTTGAAACCTGTAATTGTATGAATAAGTTTGAATTCCATTAGACATACATGACATATCACTGCTTTTCTTTGTGTATGATGTCAGGACCCTGATTTGTTGCATATTTATGTGTAATTTAGCCAGTTAATTTCTTATGATTGAAATAGCTCCTTTCATTTTTAGGGTTATCTTGACTTAGCATATGACAGTCATTTGGAAATAAAAGAAACTGTAAAAGAGAAAAGAATAATGGTAATATGAATACATTTACAATTGTCCTTTTTATGAACAAAATTACCATAAGAAACCCTTGATATTTTGGAAAAACACATATTGTCTCGTTCTCTTCTTATTTAATTTTTCCCTCAAGGAATAAACTTTTCTGTTTTAGTCATCTTTATCTGGCTGTTAAAAGAATAGAAATATTCCACCCTTAATGGAATTTATCCTTTGTTATCTTGGTATTGATGCTAATGACAAATCAGAATTCTGCCTCACTTTAGTCATAGGTCATATAGAGGAGTCTTTCCAAGCCAATTTTAAAGGTATAAAATCTTCATAGAAGTACTGTTGATTTGTTCATCTTGATTTACTTTGGTACTTGTAAAGGGAGTAGTTTTTGCTCAGATCTTGGTTTCTATATACCAGTTCCCACCCAGAGGAACTGGAAATGTGTGAGAAATGGCCTGAGGTCCCAGGTCTGAGATCCCAGGTCTGAGATCCCAGGTCTGAGGAAGGAAAGATGCAAAAGCCTGGAACATTTTGTTAAGCCTGAATATAAGGAAGTGCTCAAAATATTTGATGGGAGCAGGTCCAAAGGAAAGAGAAGCCTTCTTGAAGAGGTTCCCAGGGGCCAAACTGGGACAATTTGAGCATTAGAATAAATGGAACAGTTGTTGCCTATCACCCATTGAATGAAATAATCTAGGAGTTTATTCTATAGTGATAGCTAGCTAGGTGGAGAGAAGGGAAAGCTGTTTCTTGAAGTAGAAAGTAGAATTCCATCTAGAAGGAATTATGGGATTAGCAAATCCACACTTTGCAGGCATTATAGCAAAAATTGACTCAGGCGGGAATCATCAGTGAATGCTACAGGGAGTGAGGGGCAGCTTGATGAGTAACAAGGTATATACATCCTCTCTCTCAAAGCACATGCCCCAGAAGTATTCATTATGAAGGAAAAATAGTGACCACACGGTGGAGACACCAGATACTACCTCAGCTGAGTGGTGACCATCACCCTCAAAGCAGGAAGACCCCATGGGCGTCTGGCTATGGGGTCCTGAGATGTTCACAACCCCACTTGTGGGTCCTTGCTAAAGACTCACCCACTGAGTCATCATGAGCAAACACCAGAGGAACCTCAGTGAGGGCCTCTGGGGAAAATAACTGGCCCATGTTCTAAAGGATGTTATTGTCGTAAGAGGCAAAGAAAGGTAGATGAACTGTTCCAGATTAAAAGAGACCAAGCAAACATCACAGCAAAATGCAATATGGGGCCCTAGACTGAAGGAAGGCCTTATAAAGGACATACTAGACAAAATTGGAATGTTACTGTTGGAATTATTTTATTGGAATATAATGCTAAATTTGCTGACTGTGTAAACTGTGCTGGGGCTATTTCTTAGAAAGCACTGAAGTATAAAGGAATAAAGGAGCATATTATATGCAACCTAGTCACCAGTTAGAAAAAATGTTCACAGAGATGGGAAGAGGGCAAATTGGATAAAGCAAACATGACAAATTTTTCTGTAAGTTTGACTTTGTTTCAAAATAAATTAAAAGGAGAGAGTGGAAAAAGATATTCTTGGGAGGTGAAGATGGTAATGTATTTTTAGGACCTGAAGATAAATTTCAAGTGATTGTTAATTTGCTGATGTAATTACAATGTCAATACTTTTAGTAAACAATAAAATGCTTTCTCCACAGGTGGATAGTAGGATGATACAAAAGTGATAAATAAGAGGATTTTATTGTTTATATGTTATGCTAACTATCAATAAATCAATTATGAGCATATTATTGATATTTTTAAAAAGTATGAAATATTTTATATTTCAAGTTGGTAGAACATGTATACTTTTAATAGTCTTTTTATTTTATGTTTTATTGAATCTAGGTGCTGTTAATTTTAAAATGCACTTGTGCTATTTAGAAAGAAAAAATATTGCCAATTACAATTCTAAGACAATGTCAATGGTATGATTTCAGCGATGTTAAAATGTGGAAAAATATGTTAAAGAGTTGAGACAGAATAGAGCGAAATGTTTAGGTAGGTAAGTAATTTAAATGTGCTTCTCATTTAAATTATTGCAACATCATGATTTTAGTTAGAAAATCAGAAATCTGTGGTAAAATTGGCATGTTTCATAATTCATATTAGAAGTTCTTAGAACTGTTATCAGTGTGACTTCTGTGTTTTGAGAGATCGTTTGATAATGTTCTTCTGCCCTGAAGTGATCTTTTTTACAATTAGCCAGTTTTGCACAGGTATTTTCAGGAACTCAAATACAAAAGGACATTTAGGAATCATTCCCTGTAACTTGCTGCTTATAATAGTGACTGTCATTCTCTGCAGATGCCGCAGTTGGAGAAGAAACTTGAGCTTGAGCTTCCGGATGATGCTAGAGTCATCGCTTGCCGGTTCCCTTTCCCACACTGGACCCCAGACCAGATCACTGGAGAGGGGATAGACACTGTGTGGGCGTATGACATGAGCACTTTTAGAGGGATTGAAAAGAGGCCCTGAAGGCTGATGCATTTTCAGTCAGTCATTTCAACATGAAATTTATTGAGAGTCTTTTTCTGCAGTGTTGGTGATCTTTGATTTTACAGAGACTTAACAGCTGTGTGTTTAGCAGAGAATACACTTTTGTTTGACATGGCATGAGAGACTACTGTTACTTTCCTTAATTGTTGGAGAAAACAAGTTAAGAACAGCTGGTAGCTTTAAAGTCCCGTTTCGTGGTATATTCTAAAAATTGTGCTTACTGCTTTTCACGTCCTTGGATGTGTGAAAATATAAATAAGTGATGGATGTTGGTGGGTGGGAAAGAGGTTGGCAGCTCTTCACATTTTGAAGAATATGATTTAATGCCACAGATAAGAAACAATTTCAAAAAGACGCATATTAATAAATGTTTGCAGATTCCTATAACTTTACTCATACTTAAGATTTATCTCTTCTCTATATGTCATGGCAACATTAATTTTCTAAGGGATTTAGAGAGGCATTTATATTTTATAATATTTATTAGGAATAATTTGTTCCTAGCCTAGATTACTGTATTTTATTAAATCTAAGATGTGTGTGTGTGTGTGTGTGTGTACATATTTTAACATTTTTGAAATTGTGAGATACCTTCCAAATGATGGTATTTTATAGCTGTATTGAGCAGCGTTGTACATAATCAATTATCATTGCTAGAACCTCAGATTTAATGAAATAGGGTATTCAGAGAAGATACATGATGCAGTGGAGTGACTGGCAGTGATTGAATAGTAATAGGAATGACCGTGAGCTTTGGAGTCAGCCGGACCTGGGTTCAGATCGCTGCTGGACCCTCAGCAGGAGGCCTTGGACACTCTCAGAGCCTTGGTTTCCTGAGTATCCCTGTTGTTGGGATAATGATTTATTCAGAAGGGGGACTGGTTTGTAAAACTCAAGGCATGTGGTCGTTGGTCTGTAAATAGTATTTATTATTACTTTAGATGCTAATGAAAAGCTTATTCACAGAAGTTGTAGATTATTTCTGCTAGTCACTTCTTTATTTTATGAAAGCAGCCATTTATTTAATATTTCTCACTTGTGAGAAGAGACGACTGATTTAGATAAAGACAAGTTAAGGAAAACCTTTGAATTTGAGTAGGCAGGCTTCATATATCTGAAAAATTAATATTGAATGGTGGCTCGACTAATCCCTGCTTATCACAGAAAAGAATTGAACTCCCAGCCATACACCTTGTAAGCTAAATACCAAACTGTCTTAGAGATCTGATCAAGTGAGATGATTGTGACTTTTACTAAACTGATAAAAATATGATCAATTTGATAATTTTTATTTAAATGAGAAGCAACTGGGGACTCATTCATTCAGCAAATACTTATTGAGTGTCTACTGTGTAATGAGCTTTTCCGATTCAATGGTGAATGCACAGGTAAAGCCCCTAATCTTAAAGAATTTATACTCTGAAAGTAGGGAGACAAAGGAATAGGTGAGTGAATGTTACTGTGTGTGAAGTCCTTGGAAAGAAAGAACAGCGTGATAGTACAAAGAGCGACTGTGTGTATTATGTGTGAGGGGACGGGATGTTGTGGACATTTGTCAGGTTTCTGGCTGCTGCCATCTTTCCTTTTCCCACCAGGCCCTGATTTCCTAATGAAAAACAGATTCTCTGCCATGGGATGCAACTCTGGTGCCTGCCCCTCACTGTCATCTCTGCTGCGGCCAGCCTTGTAGTTTGGCTGGGCACGCTTGGTGAGGGCCCCGTTGTAGCTCATTGCCAGGATAGTGTGGCGGACGGAGGCAGTTGTATTCCTGGTGGATTTGTAGAGGCATCAGGTTATATGCAGAGTCATGTATAATTGCCACTTGTTGAGTTTCTCCTATAGCTTCCCAAGAATTAAGATGATGCTTGATCTTGAAACCTTAGAGTAAAACAGACCATCTCATAGAAGTGTTGTGACTCACAGAGTCTGCAAGATTAATTGCTTCTTAAAATTGTGCCTTAAAGTAAGGACTGTTCAATAAGATTTTTCCAGTAGAGGTTATTGTATCTTCCCTGATTGGCTGCTTTAAATTTTTATCAGTTACTAGGTGCAGGACATTGATTAAATTTGCACATGACACAAGGTAGAGAGTGACAGCTACTATGTTTGACGTGAAAAATAGGGTTTAAAAATGTCTGTGTAGATTGAAATCTGGGATAGATAAAATTTAAAGTTAAAAATAAAAGAAACAAAAATAGAAACATAGCTTAGGGGTGATGCAGCCTAACAGAAGCCATTGTGAACACAGACCTACAGGGTCCCTTGACACTCAGGTCAATGATTTGAGCTCATTCCCATCTGAATACGTCTTTCTCCAAAAGCATGGCCCCAGGATCACAACCTAGGTTTGCCAGGTGGGCCTCATAAGACCCTCAGTCAGTCTGGCATTCAGATTCCTTGAAAGCCTTAGCTCCACTTGTGCACATGAAACCAAGTTTAAGAGATTTAAGAAATGAAACTCTTCTGCATACACTGTGTTTACCATTGCGGGGTTGCTGGGGTACACCATGAAAAGTTACAGGTAAAGAGAAGAGAAAAAAATGCAAGACTCCTTAAACCACACATTCCAGTACTACCCCTCTGCCAAAGTTCTTTTCCTGATGGCCAAGTGTGAGATCTGCTGTAAAGAAATGTGTCCTCAAGTCCAGGAGTCTTCCAAACTTATGCTATAACCTGAATGTCCCAGTGTGGGCGGGGCTTAGTGCGTTCCAGGAAAGACTTCTGAGTCATTGCAGTGTATACTACAGGAGTCCACTTAAGTCTCAACTGACAAACAAGAAGCACATAACTTAGTTGCGTGGTGTGTCTTTCGCCTACTGGGGCCACAGTGTGTCCAGCTGTTCATTAGGACATGGCCTCCGACCCAGGTCACCTGTCCAAGAGCAGGGGAAACCAGCGGGCCTGCCAGAGGTGTGCAGAATGGCTGCCTCCTACCCAGCACTTAACTGCTCCTCTCCCTTAGTAACAGAATCCCAGTGTTCCAGGTGTGAGGCGTCGATCTCCTCAGGGGTGATGGGCCCTGCCAGTTGTTTGGTCCCATCTCTTGAGCATCACGGTAGGTGGTAGGCATGTGACCCAGTTCCTGCCAGTGAGGTTTGAGGGACTTATGCTGGGAGCTTTGGGAATGGTTTTGTTGCTGATAGGAGATGCTTGAGGAATGAGCATTCTTCTGTCTGGACAGGCTGCATAGGGCAGTAACACCTGAAGGTTTAGCAGCCACTTTGCAACCACTGGAGGAAAGTAAAGATGAAAGCCAAGGTGCTGAGGCTGATGGAGCGGAAAGAGGAAAGACTCTGGGTCTTTGATGATGCCACTGAGTTGCTGAACTAGTCTGGAGCCTCTGACTTCAAGACATCTTGTTAGGTGAAGTAATAAACACATGCTGATTTTAAGCTGCTTTGACTTGGTGGTGTGTTATTACCCCATGCAGTAACCTGACGGGGTGGGGGGGTATAAGGCTGAACTGGGGCAGGGGGAGCCCAGCAGGGTGTGAGGCAGGCACCTGTAGGGAGGGCATCCTCTGCCTGCACCAGAGGAGATAGCACCTGTCAGAGGGTGCATCTGAAGGGTGCAAGGGGGGCAGAGAGATCTGGGGTGGGGAGACCTTCCAGGGTAGCTTCCAGAGTGCTGTCTGGGAAACTGTACCAAGTCAAGAGGGCCGTGAGCGTGGACTGGGCCTTCAGAGCTGACATGTCATCCCAGCAGATGTCCTGTTCTTAAAGGTGAGTAGGGGTGAGGACAGCAGAGCTTCAGCTGGATCCCTGCACCCAGGGAGTTTTTATAAGGGGGAAGATGATTTCTCAGGATCAGAAAGGAATTAGGAAAAGGAAGGGAAGAAGTTACCTTCAGACTGTCCTCGGCAGGTTGGGTCACCAAGCAGGGAAGCTGTGCTGTGGAGTGTTTGTGTTCCAAGAACTTTGAACATTGCTTAACCTCCAGTGTGATGGTATTAGGAGGTGGGGCCTTTGGGTGATTAGGTCATGAGGGGAGACCCCTTATCAGTGGGATTAGTGCTCTTATAAAGAGACCCCAGGGAGCTCCCTCACCCCTTCTGTTACAGGGAGGACACGGAGAAGCTGGTCATTTATGAACTAGGCAGCGGGTTCTCACCAGACACTGAATCTGCCAGTGCCTCTAGCTTGGGCTTCTCAGCCCTCTACTGTGAGAGAGAAGTGCTTGCCATTTAAGCCTCCCAGTCTGGTGTCCTGTTACAGCAGTCAAGCTGACTGAGATAAGCTGGTAACAGAAGAGCCATGACCAGCACTACCCAGACTTGTCTCAGGACCCACAAGTACTTAGCTGGCATGAGGAGAGGCAGTGGGTGGGGAGCCAAGATTCATGAGGATTCGTGGCTGGGCAGGGCAGGTGCCATCCCCCTGGTGTGATGGTGGGCTCGTTGGCTGAGTTGGGGTGCAGTTGGCTCCACACTCCCAGGGAAGGCCTTCCTGGGAGGGATCTCCTTTGAGCCACCCCTTCCTGGCTCATGAGGAGGTACTTCTGGCATGGTTTGTTCCTAAACTAACATGGATGATGTAAAAAACTGGAAATAAAGGAATAGACGAAGTCATGATGAAAAGCTAAACAAATTCTAGGTGGTGAAAGGTCTTGAAAACATACCCTAAGAGGCACAGTTAAAGAAGTTGTGGATGTTTGCCCTGAGGAGAGAATGTTTGAAGAAGTCAGGACAGATGTTTTCTAATAGTTGAAGGGTTGCTGAGCAGCAGAAGAAAGGACAGTGATAATAAACATGACTATGTGCCCCTGTTCCCATCCTCAGGGAGGAGGCACTGTCTTCATTTTTTTTTTTTTAACCAAGGAGAGTTGTCACTTTGTTCAGTCACATCAACACGGGAGCACAGGGTCTTAGTACATTCACTCACTTCCCTGCAATTAGACATTCTCTGACTAGCTCAGGGTGTAAACCCTGTCTTTGGGTGGGTCCTGAAGGGGCATAGAGTTTAAGCTCAGTCTGGAGTGCAATCTTAATTAGTCATTTAAAGTTAAAATGTATTGCCTTTGGACAAGGTGAGTTCCTTGTCACTGGAGATATTGGAGCAGAGGCTGGGCAGCCACTTGGTGGGGATGTTGTAGAAGGGATCCATCTGTAAGCAGGTGTGGAGTCCTAAAATGACCTAAAATGAGTGAGCTTTCCAACCTTAGCAGGATGCCTGCCTGCATCCTTTCAGCCGACCTCTGTGGGTTGTGAGTCATCAAAGTTGTCTTCGGCAGTAAAGTGTTCAACTCCAACAGAACTTCACATCCCCCGAACGTGAGGAGGCTGTGGCGACTTTTGACTCTGATGTTGCAAAACAAAGTACAGGCATATCTTGTTTAATTGCACTTCAATTTATTATGCCTCACAGA